GGAGACCGCGGTTGGAAACAGGGTGGCCCGAGGAAGCCCCCAGAGGCCCCCAGAAGGAACCCAGGTAGTCCTGAAACACACGAGGCCCCCAAGAGGTTCTCCAAGGAGGAGCCTGCGCAAAAAGAGTCATGGAGGATGGGGACAAATTCGCAGGGTAGGGCGAGAATGAGAAGACGAAGAGGAAGCATGAGGGACAGATAACGAACACACATCATTGTAACGACGATACCAGAAAAGGCAACAAGAAATTATCGCTAAATTTCTGTTTTACCTTCCTGCCCTTCCGCCTGCATGCCAAACATTAAGGACCAATGTGAATAGCGCGTACCTGTCTGTCTAAATACATATACAATGTTGACAGCGTGGACCTCAAACAGTCTGTGATTGCACGCTGGATGTATAAGCTATATGATGCAATCTACTTGGTGCAAGCTATGTGGTGTGAGCCACGTGGTGTAAGCTGTGTGGTGTAAGCTCGACGGAATCCCAAGCGCAGCGGTGGGCAGCAACGAGGCGGCAACGGGCCGCAGGAGGCGGCCACGGGCGGCAGCAGCAGCGAGCCCTCGACGGACCCATCCAAGTGGGAGGCAACGAAAAGACAACGGACGCGGCGCGGCGAATTCCCGACGAAGCCGCAACATGGGCGGCAAGGAGGCGGCCACGGGCGGCGACGCGGCGAAATCGAGGGACCCCCAAGTGTGCGGCAACGGGGCGGCAACGAGTGGGCAATGGGCGGCGACGAGGCGAAACCTCGAAAGACCTGTCGAATTCCGATTCCTGAGCAAGACAACTAAAAACCCATACGTGCACGCCCCGATTCGGCATTCCATGTATGTATGTATGCATGCATGTGTGCACGTATGTATGTGTGTATGCATGAGAGTATGAACATCTGTATACATATAACTATATATATGTATATGTGTATATGTATGTATATGGGAAGTACAGGCGCGTGTATATGTATGTATATGGGAAGTACAGGCGCGCCTGTACATGATCAGATACAGCTATGTCTAAATATGCGTATGTGTGAACACAACTGAAATTAGAAGGCACGCGTACACGGACATTCATACGCCAACCAGTGAGTCAAACCAATCAATGGACAACTCCATCGATAACAAACGAACAAGCGATCAGTGGCGGGCACGGCGTTACACCGGGCTCCGACGGGAAACCGGGAAGAACACAGCCTGCAATTGCCCTCACATGCCCAGTATCGAAACTACCTCACAGACACTAACAATTATAGCCCGAATCGGAACGAACTCGCTGACTTTCAAGCTGGTTTAGTTATGACGCGCTAAGAACACAACAAAACGGATATGTATGGAGGCGGCGAATCCAAACCCGGTCTCTTGTACCCTGATTTGTCTCCAACAGTGAAAATCTTCGGCGGGAGATGCGCAACAATCTACACACCGGAAAAATGGCACAAGAAAGTGAATATGTACACACGTGGAACCCTTCGCAAATCTCCACGAGGCTACGCAACTAACTTCAACAGAATTCTCGAAGACGACGGAGAACAACATCTGGAAGCTCTGGGCACGCTCGCTGCAGTCCGTCTAGCGCACGCTCCACCCAGAGGGCATCGCCATCCTCCTCTAGCTTTTTCAAGAGTTTCGAACGCGGTGCGCCCTCACCCAGAACAGCACCTCGCGCCATCAAGGCCCTGAGCGCATTCTTGCTGCACTGCACCCAACTACCTTCTGACTGGCTTTGCTTTGCCCGCTTTTTGCCAGGTTCAAATAGCACGAGGCCACAGACATCCACCCCAGCATCCAATAACAATCTCAACAATGACAGACTCCCACTACCCAAAGCTACCAACCGGCAATTTGAAGGAAGAGGCCTCCAGCCACAGCGCAGGAGGCAACGTGCAGCCCGCAATAGCCGCTGGTGCGGCCAGGGTGCCTGCAAAACACGCTCGGCGAGTGCGTGTTGTAAGACCTTGTCGACAAGAACTGCTCTTACCAGCGTCATCACTTGCTCAAGGGACTCATCTGGGCTGCGGTCACTGGGCATGATCGACGCGGACGAATAAGCAAGCATAGACGTGAGATCCTCGGTAGGCATATCCGAGGTCCACTGCTTGCGTATGTCATCAGCCCCCTTCTCGCAGCATGCCTCCTCTAAGCATTCCACTAGCTTCCACAGCGCTGCCTCGTCAAGCTCGGCAACCGCAGCTTTGTGCGGATGCATCCCAGAGTGGTCAGCACAATCCTCATGTAAAATCCTGAAGCGCTCCTCCAAGGCGAAGACGACGCACTTCGGAGGCGTGTATCTCCGGCACCCCTCAGTCGCAGCCTCGAACTGCCACACTGGCCAGACCCTGCCGTGTCCCTGCAGCCGAAAGACACGTCTGCGAGTGCCTGTGCGCGTGTTCAACTGCTCCATCAGGGCCACGTCGACATTATATTCCGAACCGGTGGGATCCACGTAGATCACACAAGTGCCGCCATCATGTCGCACTATCACGGGCGAAGTCTCCGCGGCAAACCTGTCCTGAGGGGCGTCGCCAGGAGCGGCCAGCAGGTTTGCAGACCGCGCTGCACGACCTTTCTTGAAGCCCATCGAGGAGCCACCGACTTAGCAAAGGCACCATGTGCCTCCTTGAAAGAAACACGACTGCGGACACCATCCCACCAGTCCTCCTGGGCGTGCAGTCGAAACACGGCCACACAAAAAAACGCGGCTCCAGAACACAAGGCCTTTCGTCTGAGGCCCAAAGCCCCTCCAGGATACCCCGAACCGAACGAAGAACATCCCAAGGTAGAGAGCACGCGAAGAACACGAGGCCACCCCTCCGAAACTGGGGTTGCTCTGCTAACGCTCGTGACAGCCGTGCGTCGGTGACTACGAGTGCTCTTCCAACTCCCCTTCGAGAATGGGTCCCCCTGCCCCCTCCCCTGTGTATGTGAAGGGGCCCTGGGACACACAAATAAATAGATAGAAACAACAGGATTCCCAGTATTTTCCATTTTTTTCTGGGTTTTTGTCTTCCCCCCACTTCCCATATTTTCCCATACTTTCTGGGGAGTCGGCGATTAATTGTGTCTGAGTGTTTTTGTTTCCCATCCTGAGCAGAGGCAGCACGTGCAAAAACACGCCTGCGGACACAATGCCACCCACCAGTCCTCTGGGCCAGCGTCGGCGGTTCAGGGCGCCTGCTGCGCCAGCCCCCCCTTCGGGGAGGCGTCACACCCGCCCCACTGCCCCCTCCCCTGGGTATGGACGGGGGGGGGGGTCGAGGCGTGCCCCTCCTGGTGGCCCAAGGTAGCTCCAAGAGGACCCACCAGGAGTAGGACTTTTCTCAACACGCCAGGAGCAGTTGAGTAGCGCTACCATCCCTGGCGGCCGCAGGCTGAACCCCCAAGTAAGCTGCGGCACAGGACACTGAGAATCAGTCGAGACAATTACCCATGACTCCGCAGCAGCGAGTGAAGGCTGGCATATATGGTCTCCTGGATCTGCTCCGGCTGATCGCAAGATTAGGTTTGACGGATGCCCCCTCTTCGTTCCGCTGCATGCTCATACGCTGCCCCGCCAGGGCAACTCGCCCAGGGACAATTTCTGGCTGACTCGCGCCCCTGACTCACTCGCGTCGTGCTCGGTCGAGTTTTGTTGGACGTCTTCGTCGGTCCCCAAAAAGATTCTCCATCCTCGGGGTGCTTCACTGCACCTGCGCCCCGCCGAGAGCGTTCCAGGGGGGTGCCTGGATCGTGCCGAGCGGCCGCAAGATGCCCGAAGCGGTCACCCGAAAGCCAAACATCCCCGCGTCGTGAGCATGTCGCCACGGAAAGACTTGTTCCAAACAGTGTTTGCTCTGAGGGGTTCTCACTTGTGTTGGGAAGCTGGGCGAGAGCTGGCAAATCCGTGGCTGCTAAAACGGTCTTCCCAGAAGGAAAACAAACATCCTGGAATCAAGCTCAGCGCACTAACTAGTACACGGGCTGCTTCCCGGAAGGAACAAACAAGTTCCCGGAGCTCCGTTTTAGCAGCCACGGTTTTGCCAGCCGTCGCCCGGCTTCTGATGTGTTCTGAGGTAACTGGGCCCCGGTGACGCTCCTGCCAGCTCGTCGCCGCCATCGCGGCTGGGCCCCAGTGGCGATTCTGCCGGCTCGTCGCCGCCCCTTTCTTCGCACTGCGACGCATTGCTTGCGTTGCTGTCCACTGCTGCGCGTTGCTTCGCATTGCTTCGCATTGCGCTGCATCGCTTCGCGTTGCTTTGCATTGCGGTGTGCTTTGCATTGCATTGCGTGGCGTTGGTTTGCATTGCTTTGCACTGCTGTGCACTGCTCTGACTTGCTTTGCATTGCGTTGCAGTGCGTTGCATTGTTTTGCTTTGCTTTGCGTTGCGTTGCACTGCTTTGCATGGCGTGTCGTCACATTGCATTGCATCGCATTGCACCACATAGGTTGCACCACACAAGTTGCACCTCGTTGCGCCACCTAGCTTGCACCATTGAGGGTACCACCCGGATTGCACCGCACATTTTGCAACACATCGTCGTTTGGGGCCCACGCTGGCTAACATTGATGACTTTCGGCCTCATAGGGCCTTCGCCATGCCCTTTGGCCGTCAGAAGCGACTCGGGATGGAAAGCTGAACACCTGGAAGGCGTACAGACCTCTGGGGAGCCACGTTGTGACAGAAACGACGTCGAAGGTCTAGGCCTCCTTTCGCCCCCTCCATTCTCCACTCTCCTCGTTTTGAATTCAGGCACCTCGAGTGAAGGTGAACGGTTTAGAAATACCCTTGCGAGGGACCCAACCAGATGCAGTTGTGAATGACGCAGTTGTAAGAATCGTCTTCGGTGGCGCTTCCTCAAGGACCATGAAGCGTGAGAGGGATGTGCCGAAGTCGGGCTGGGGGCTGGGGGGACGCATGTGGACTGTGCCACTGGGGCACTCGGTGGAGCTCACTATGGGGACCTCGAAACATGCGAGGAGCGTGCCGAAATGGAGCGGGGAATCGCATACGGACCCTGCCATCTGGGCCTTCGGACGGGGCTCCCTGCAGGGCCACGAAGCGCGTGAGGGGTGTGCCGAAATGGTGCGGGGGGCGCATGTGGACTCTGCCACTGGGACCTTTGGGGGGATGGGTCCGTATGGGGGCGTGACACGTGTGAGGGGCGTGCCGGAATTGGACGGGGGGACGCATGTGGACCTTGTGACTGGGGCCTTTGGTGTAGCTCCCCCTGGGGCCACGAAACGTGGGAGGGATGTGCCGACATGGGGCGGGGGGGGGCGCATGTGGACCCTGCCACTGGGGCCTTCGGCGGAGCTTCCTATGGGGCCACGAAGCGTTTGAAGGGTGTGCCGACATCGTGCGGAGAAGCTCCCGATGGGACCACGAAACATGTGTGTGTGTGTGTGTTTGTGTGTGTGTGTGTTTGTGTGTGTGTGTGTGTGTTTGTGTGTGAGGGGTGCCGGCGGCGGGACACATGTGGACCCTGCCACTGGGGCCTTTGATGGAGCTCCCTATGGGGCCAAGAAGCATGTGAAGTGTGTGTGTGTGTGTGAAATGTGTGTGTGTGTGTGTGTGTGTGTGTGTGTGCCTGCATGCCGAAATTCGGCGGGGGAACGCATGTGGCTGGGGCCTTCGGTGGAGCTACCCATGGGGGCGCGAACCGTGTGAGGGCTGCGCCGACACAGAAGAAGCATGCAGTGCGAGTGTTGTTCCGAGCGTGTGAGAGGAGTGCGGGGGCAGAGGCATGGATGGGAGGAGGGAGAGGGCGGCGAAAGAGGATGCGGGTCGCTGTTCCTTCAAAACGGGAGACATCCCCACAAAACGGCCGCGAACGGGACCGTGAGATAACACCTGGCGGCTCCCCTTAAGGGCGGTGAAAATGAGCACCTGGCTCGAGACATCCTCCAAATCTGCTCCGAAAGCGAAGGATGTTGGGACAGAAAACAAGCAAACCGCTTGAGAAACCTCACAAAACGGCCGCGAACGGGACCGTGAGATAACCCCTGGCGGCTCCCCTCAGGGGGAGCTGAAACCAGCGCCCCGCCTGAGACATCCTCACAATCTGCTCTGGTAGCCAAGGATGTTGGGACAGAAGAACCCGCTTGAGGCATCCCCACAAAACGGCCGCGAACGGGGCGTGCGTGAGTCTCACCATGGGTAAGTCTGAGTACGAGTAGGTCTGAGTATGAGTAGGTCTGAGTATGAATATTTTGTGTGTGTATGTGTGTGTGTGTGTGTGAGTAAGTCTGTGTCTGAGTAAGTCTGAGTGTGAGTCAGTCTGTGTATGAGTAAGTCTGGGTATGAGGAGGAGAGGGGAGGAGAAGAGGGAGAAGAAGGAGTAGGAGGCGTCCAAGTAATAACAAGAACCCCATCCTAGCATATTCTATTCAAAAAGAGGACCCAGCACCACATGATGGTTGGGAACAGAACAATTTCGCCTGCCCCAGGGGGGGGGTACATTTTCAACCGTTCACGTCTGTTAGGCCCAGCACCCAGTAGAGATCGATTGCAAGCCTGTGGGCGACCATTTGGGGGGTCGAAAGAATGGAAAAGAAATGAAACATGAGACTGTAATGCGGTTGCCAATGGGATGGGGCTCCACGATTCTGCCGTGGGGGCTTTTTCCCCTCCCGCTCCCCTCCCTGATCCTTCTACCCTCCTTCTCCTCCCCGCCTCCTCCTCCTCCTCCTCCTCCTCCTCCTTCTCCGCCTCCTCCGCCTCCTCCGCCTCCTCCTCCTCCTCCTCCGGCGGCGGTGGCGAAGGCGGCGACGCCCCCTGCGTCGACCCCAAGTCCCGCCTCGGGCCCCCAACCGTGACAGCCGGACATTCTTGAGGGTGGCGCTCCAGCTGTGGTCTCCTCGAAGAGAGGAAGGGGGCAGGGACCCAGACATCCGACGAAGTGCTCTGTCGCAAAGGGGACGGCCGAACCGTGCGAAGGAGTGAGGAGGAGAAGGAGGAGGTGGATGGATGGATGGATGAGGGAGTGGGACGAAGGAGGATGAATAGGATGAGGAGGAGGCGGAGGAGGAGGAGGAAGAGAAGGAGTAGGAGCAGGAAGGAGGAACAGGAAGAGGGGGCTCCCCAGAAGTCCAGACCCTTCCCTGGGGCCGGTGCCTCTCCAATGGTCCTCCACGGTCCCGAGGCCCGCCGGCGGGGCCCTCCTCTGGGCCAAGGGCTCCGGCAAGAAGCCGTCCGCCGGGGTGTTTTCACAGCGCGGGGAGGGCAGCGGAGGTCCTCCTCCTCCTCCTCCTCCTCCTCCTCCTCTTCCTCCTCCTCCTCCTCCTTTTCCTCCTCCTTTTCCTCCTCCTCCTCCTCCTCCTCCTCCTTCCCCCCCCCCACCCCTCGCACCCCCCAGCCCCGGCGCGCGCAGAGGCAGAGCCTGACGAAGGGGACGGGGAGAGCTTAGCGCGGGGAAGGGCGGAGTGTTGGATGGGGGAGGGGCAGACTCCCAACTTGTGGCGGGCTTCGGACCCCCGGGCCGACACGCCAGACCCCGAGTGGGCACCAGACTCGAGAAGGTGCAGGTGCCAGGGTCGCGCAAGGGACGGGCGAGGAGAGGGGGGAGGAGGAGGATGAGGAGATGGAGGAGGAGGAGGACGGGAGCGGATGGAGGAAGAGGAGGAGGACTGGTGAGGAGGCGCAGGCGGAAGAGCAGCGGGAAGAGGAGGAGGAGGAACGCGGCAGCGAGAGAGCGAGCGATCGCGCGCGCCCATCCTGGCGCTCCCCAGGCCGCGCTCGTCGGACAGTGCTGGCAAGGCTCCGCACACTGGCGAGGCCTACGTCGCCTGGCTTCTCGCACCGCGCCCCGAGAAGGGGCGATCGTCTCAGCACCCTCGCGCCCTCGACCCGCCCGCTGGAGAGGGGCAGCCACCCTGGCCCAGGCCTCGACAAGCGAAACGCGACCTGGCCAGAAGATCGGTCCCGCCCAGCAGACCCTCGTGCTCCTCGTGCTCCTCGTCCTCCTCGTGCTCCTCCTCCTCCTCCTCCTCCTCCTCCTCCTTCTGCTCCTCCTCCTCCACCACCACCACCACCACAAACACCACCACTACCACCACCACCACCACCACCACCACCACCACCACCACCACCACCACCACCACCACCACCACCACCACCACAAACACCACAAACACCACAAACACCACCACCACCACCACCACCACCACCACCCCACCACCACCACCACCACCACCACCACCACCACCACCACCACCACCACCACCACCACCACCACCACCACCACCACCACCACCACTACCACCACCACCAGAGTGTCGCGTGAGATAAGGCGCCAATTGGCAAGCGTCCTACCCCGTGGTCCCCCCCACTGTGGTTCCAATTACTATGATTGCTACATCGCGAACACCACTCGGGCGCGGCATAACCGACCCCTAGCAAACCATACCCTTCCGTGACGTCATCCTCGCCTTTCGAGCTCCCCTCCAACCGCATACCTACGTCTTGGGGCGAGGCGAGGGGGGCGTGACGGAAGGGGATGGTTTGCCAGGGGTCGGTTCGGCCTCTCCTGAACCACGCGGCCCCTGAAAACAAGACTCGCCTACAGCTGTAAAACAAACGAACCGCTGGAGACATCCCCACAATCTGGGCACAATCCGGTAAGTGACCTACCCCCTGGCGGCTCCGCCTTGTGTTGCCCAAGTGCTATGCCTTCCACATCGCGATGATTATGATCGTGAGATAGAAAAGGAAGGAGGAGGCGAGAGTGAGTAAGCGGAGGCACCACACGGATAACAAACATATGATGTGTAGAATATGGGAATCATCTCCGCAACATCCTCCACGAGACGCGCAACTGCCTGCATAAGGATCCATAATGATCGTTGGACCCTTGCTCCGCGCGCGTTCGACGGAAGCTGGCGGCAATCAAACTGGCCCAATATGCTGGGACATCGTTGCCACGTTGACTCGCGTCGAACTTGCGTTTGATTCGCACCCATGTCGTCCAACGCCCCCATCTGAACCACAAAAGCCGATTTCGGCTGAGGCATCCTCACGGTACGCTCTTAAACTGGCCATGGCGTGCAAGTGACGCTTGCGGTGTGCTGCCCGCGCTGAGGCGATAACGCTGGTTGGACAGACTTTCGGCCTTTGTACGGAAGTTCGGCTGGAGAAGTATCTGCTTCCTGGGCAATCTGGGCAATCTGGAAGGTGTCTAGAGTCACAAAGTGTATCCCGAAACACACACACACACACATTCAACGCTGCTTCATTCCAAAACAAAACAAACACAAGAACCCGATGCGCGCGACCCGACCGCCCAGACCGGAATATTGGCCCGCCTGTCGCGGCGACACTCTGAGCACAATAGCGTTGGCGCACGGACGTGTGACAACGCCGCCGAGAGCCGTGAGGCTCATCGAGCAGGCGATCGGAGAGGATGAAGGGCAATCATCACATTCTTTCGATAAACCTGGACGTGTCGGCTTGGCCATTGTGGGCCGAGAATGCACTCAACACACATCCCCAAACAGCGGCATGATCACCCGCAGGAACACCAAGAGGGAATAACAACGGAATGAGATACCCCAAAAAGCCGCGTCTTCCTGGGACTCCCACGGTTGACGTTTCCTATCTCTGGCAATCGCGCAAAACCATTCCGTGCCAAAAACATAACCCCTTTAATATGTAATGCTGTTTTCTTTGTTGCTCTTTCGTGTGGCTTCGCTTCGTTTCTTGTTCAGCTGGTTTCCTCGTGGGCGGGCGTCCGCGAACCATGCACACGACCTTGGTTTTCGCACTCCCCAAATATCAGTGCACCGAAATTCCATACTTACAAACATTGTGTGAGAAACGCGGTAAAGCAGGCACTACGATTTGCGACATTAGCAACGTAGACGCAGGTGTGAACGCGCTCGGACGACCATCCCATCCTCTGATGCCAATGTTACACGGTCGCTCTCTCCTGCCCATGTAGCGTGCCCCACACAAGATCCTACAATGGGCACCCGCATGAACAGACCAGGCTTCTGGGTGTGGACCTTGTCATGCCAGATGAAGTACCTCGAGCAATTCGCATGGAAAAGCACGGGGAATTGCATAAACAAAACTGAGTTCGAAGAGTAGTGGGCCGTGCAAAAGAAGGAATCAGAAAAGGGGAGGAGGGGGGCGAGGAATAGGAGGAGGAGGACGACAATGAGGAAGAGAGCGAAGGTAAGAGGAAGATGGGGGTCAAGCTCTGGCACGAAAGAAATGGTACAAGTCCTTTCCTGTCGGGCTGCATTATTATATGGTCCTCCCGGTCGCGACATCGGTTGTGGCTGTTCCGCATACGTCTGCCTTAAGACGGATGTTTTGCCATCGAACAATGTATCCTGGCGAAGGACCCATCCATCTGCACTTGCGAATATCGTGGCGCAGGTGATATGAACGAAGGGGCCAACGAAAGGTCAGCGGCGTGGCTGGGGGGAAACATTAACATCAACGAGCGGGGGATCTTCCTGGCTTCGCGCGAGCCCTGGGCGCCGCCGTCTCGTGGCCATTGCCTCGCGAACCCCTCTCCCCCTCTGCTTGTTTCCGCCGTGCGTTGCGTTTCTGCCCGCCTGGTTCGCAATGGCCCGAACCCCAGGCGTCGCCGCTTTGTGCCCATTTCCTTCCTTCATGCTTCTCCACTCTTTGCCCCTCCGCCCTGGCGCGGCCCTGGGCAGAGCGCTGCGCCGAGCCCCCGCGACGCGCGCCAATCGCCTGGAAGGGGCCCCAGCGACGCGCGCGGGTCGTCCGCGGCACGGCCCAAAACAAAAAGTGGCGGGTGACAAAGGGCGAGGCGCTGCGCATAGCGCACGGGAGACGGGCAGCTCCTGGAGGCAGATGCGCAGGGGAGTCCCCACGACGCACGCTGGTCGCCCCGAGAGGATTCCGAGGATTCCAGCGACGCGCGCGGGTCCTCCGCGCCGCGACACCGAACACTTGGACAGTCGACAGCGAGGCTCGGGCGGGCTGCGATGCAGCCGCGAAGCGAGTGAGGGGTGTCAGAATGGCTGGGGGGCCGCATGTGGGCCCTGCCACTGGAGCGCTGGGTGGAGCTCCCTGCGGGGCCACAAAACGTGTGCGGGTTAGTGCTGAAATGGACATGCGGTGGGTGGGAAGCCGCATGCGGCTCCGGGGAAGGCTCAGGAAGCTTGCCAGAAGCCAGGGGCCTTCTGAGCCTTCTGGGAGAGGCCCGCTCCCTCTTCGGGGAACGAAGAATGACATAAACATAAAAATTCGGAGGTCCGCGCGGATTTCTCGGATCGGCGCTGGACCCCCCTCCCTGGCGCGCGGAGAGCGCCAGGGGAGGCGCCGGAGGCGCCGCCAGGGAGGCCCAACGCGGATCCGAGAGATCCGCGCGGATCTCCGAGTATTTCTGTTTACAGGCCCGTCCACCAGAAACCTTCCACAGGAAACCCAACCCTGAGACCCCAGGGCGTCCACGGATTTTTGGCGGGGAGCGTCGCGCTCTCCATGGCAGAACCATCGAAGCCCAAGAAACCTAGGGCACCCTGGAGGCACGCCGGGCGTTTCTTGGCATGGGCCCCCACTGTATGTTTATGCCAGTTCTTCGTTTCCCTACAGTCGGGCTGCTGAAAGAAGGAACGATAACAAGGAACGAAGCCCCTTTTTGGCCCCACAAGCGCCTGCGTGCACGAGGAAGGCTGTAGGAACAGCCATAGAAGGACCCAAGGAACATCGAGCCCCTCTCTTACCCAAACTGTTCCTTATTTCAGCGACTTGGCTGTACCTCTGCCTCCCTCAACGGGCGCGCCGCCGAACTCTTCAAGACTCCAATAGAAAACAACAGCCGGGGGTACCAATTGTTTTCGGGCGCTCCGTGCGGGCATGCGCGCGGGCAGAGGGCGCATCACGTCCGACCTTAAGCGCATCGAGGCCGCACGTGGGGCGAGCTAGCCGAGTACTGCTCAGATGCTATTCGATGTCTTCCTGTTCGGATCACGTGCGCGCTGAGCTTCGAGTCACCCTGTTGACACGCACGCGCACTCCCAGCGTGAGTCAATACAGTGCTTCGCGCGCCCTGGTCTTCCAGTGCAAGCCACAACAACGCCAAGTAGTATAGACTTCATCACGTAATTATCATACTATCGGACATTATGCGCAATGCACGATTCCGTATCGTGGCCAATATGGAGACGAAGAACCCCCTGTGGACATCAGAACATTCAACTGCATCTGAACAACATTATGTTCACACATACTCATTGGTGCAACCTCATCCTCATCGTCTGCTCAACCCTGTTCACATCTTGGGCCCGCCATGGCGATCCCCAACGAAAACGCAATGATGGCACATCCACTCGCAACCGTGAAACGCACGGATAAAGGAGAAGGAATGGAGGACCATAAAGAGAGAGAGAGAGAGGGAGGGAGAGAGGGAGAGGGAGAGACAAACAGCAACACTATATACATATATATATATGTATATATATATATGCACACCCATGCCTTCACCTTCCTCGTCATCTTCATTCTCCCTATCCTCGTGCCCCGCCTCTCCTCCCCTCACTCTCTCGGGTTCCAGCATGGGCCCGCTGCGACTCGAAGGCGGGGCGTGGGACCCATCACGGATCACCGGGATCTAGAGCGGAGCGTATGCCTCAAGCTGCTGCATGCCTTGCTCGGCGTCCCCCCTGATCCGCCTGCTCCTGAGCTCAATTCCAGAGGTAGCCCATTGTTCTTGAAGGGTAGTGGCCGAAGACCCTCCTGGCTTGCAGTCTGGAGGCTCGGATTTGGGCGCCCTTGAGCTAGCTACCTTGTGCTTTTTCCGCACTCTGGGCCCGCACCGAGGAAGGGTCAGTAGACACATCTTCGGCGGAAGGGGGCGTGACGTCGCCTTCAAAGCTTACAGCAAGTATCCATAGAAATGTCCCTTTTCAGAATGTGGCTCTCGCCTAAGCGCCGCCCGCGCTCATTCATTTTCAAAGTTTGCAGCCAATTTCAAGGATTCGAAAGGCTGAAGTCCGAGGAACGGTGTTCTGGCACGAGTTAGACTTGTCAGGACGCAACAGTCAAGTGGATTCGCAGAGATGAGATCCCAGGAAGTGTGCTCTGACAGGACAAAAAAATGCCAGGGTTCAACAGGCACGTTGATTCACAACGTTCAAGTCCCAGGAACTGCGTTAGGCATAAGCTAAGAGTTGCAAACGAGTCGGAAGATTTAGGGGTACCCAATCTTAACACACATCTGTGTGTATGTAATGAATGAGTAAACCATGCACGTGTATACACCTATGTGTGTGCATGCATGTATGAATGAATGTATGTACGTAGGTGGATGTATGTGTATGTATATATGTATGCTTGTAACTGGATGTATGTGTGTATGTGTATGCTTATGTATATGCGTATGTATGACTGTATGTATGTATGTATGTATGTATGTACGTATGTATGTATGTATGTATGTATGTATGTATGTATGTATACATGTATTTATATACATGTATGTATGTATGTATGTATGTATGTATGTATGTATGTATGTATGTGTGCCTGTATGCCTGTATGCCTGTATGCCTGTAGGTATGTATGCCTGTATGCATGTATGTATGTATGTATGTATGTATGTATGTATGTATGTATGTATACATAGATATGATCGGTCTCGCCGCCCGCGAATCTCCCTTACAGAGCTTTGAGTTTGCGAATATGTCCCTCCTGATCCTCATCCTCCGCTTCTTCTTCTTCCTCTCCCTTTACCACCTCCTCCTTCTCTTCCTCATCCTCCTCCTCTTCCTCCTCTCCCCCTCCTTCCTCTTCTCCTCCTCCTCCTCCTCCTCCTCCTCTTCTCCCTCTCCTCCTCCTCCGCCTCCTCCTCATCATCATCCTCCTCATCCTCCTCCTCCCCCCCTCCTCCTGCTTTTCCTCCGCCTCCTTCTCTCCCTCCCTCTCCTCATCCTCCTCCGATGTCTGCGTACTTAGACGAGCATGTGATTCAGGCGCGAGCCCTGTGCCACGAAACGCTGTTTATGTGTGTTTGTTTGACTGGTGATGGTTTGGGGATCACCGAAACACTGTGCGTGCTTCGTTGTGTTGCTATTTCTGGACCTCAGGGGCTCCAGTGCTCGCCGCGGACTCCCCCCCAGCACCTCTCTGAGCCTCCAACGCCCCCCCCAAAGCTAAAACCAAACCCACACACTGCTTCATTGATTCCCAAACAAATAAAACTACACATAAACATACCGTAGCACCCCGCAGATGCGGATAAGAGTGAGGGGGCGGTGGGGACGTCGGCAGTCCGCGAAACTCTGGAGAAGCCCGCGGGTGTGCCGCGGATGGATCGCACAATGGTCGCGGCTGGGTTGCAAATGGGTCGCGGCTGGGTCGCGGGTTGGTCGCTGGGTCGCGGGGTGGGTCGCGGGTGGGTCGCAAGTGGGTCGCGGGGTGAGGTTCCTATGGGGCCACGAAACGCCTGAGGGGTGCGCCGAAACTATTTGGGCGGACGCATGCGGGCTGCGCCACTGGGACCTTCGGTGGAGCTCCCTATGGGGCCACGACGGTTGTGATGGGGTGTGCCGACATGAATCGGGCGGACGCGTGCGGGCTGTGCCACTGGGGCCGTCAATGGGTGCGGTGGCCGCACGAGGGCTGCGCCACTGGGCCTTCGAGGGGGCTCCCTATGGGGCCACGAAACGTGTGAAGGGTGTGCCAGAATGCGTGGGGCGGACGCATGCAGGCTGCGCCACTGGGACCTTCGGTGGAGCTCCCCATGTAGCCATGAAGCGTGTGAGGGGTGCGACGAAATCGGTGGGGCGGGCCCATGCGGGTTGCGCCTCTGGGGCCTTCGGTGGACATCCATATGACGCCACGAGCCGTCTTCGGGTGTGTGCCAGAATGGGTGGGGCGGACGCATGCGGGCTGCGCCTCTGGGACCTTCGGTGCAACAGCTCCGCATGCGGCCACAAAGCGTGTGGGGGGTGTGCTGAAATGTGCGGGGCGGACGCATGCAGGCTGCGCCACTGTGACCTTGGGTGGAGCTCCCTATGGGGCACCGAAGCGAATGAGGGCTCAGC